TCCCCGCCGCCGGAGACCCGGACCGCCGCCGAGCCAAGGCTCACAGGGCCCGGGGCAAACTGCCCCACTTGCTCCTCCTCTGGGCGGCCCTGTGTGGGGCTCGGGCGATGGGCTGGTGCCGGAGCGGGGATGGGGGGCGGGGCGGCTCTCGGGCAGGGGGGGGCTGGTGCCATATGCGGAGGGGGCGGGGGGCTGCCTGCTGGGAGCTGGCAGTTGTAAAGGCCCCTTTGGAGGCTTCTGAAAAGCTGTCTGACGGGGAAGCTTGGCACCTGCTCCAGAGGCTGCCCCAGCCAGGTCTACTCCTGCTTTGCACCCGAGAAACCCTCACTCACCTGTCTTCTCTGCAGGAGGGGGCAGTGACCTGAATGTTTGCTTCCTTTCCTCTTGCCTGGAGGGGATTGGCTCTCCTGGAAGATCAGGTTGGGAAATGTATCTGACTTACTGTGTGACCTTCCAGTACACTAATCAGATGTACTGATATTTGGGGCTTTTTCTTACATAGGCTCCTATTATCCCCCACCCCATCCTGATTTTTCACACTTCCTCTTGTCACCCTACCTTCCAGACAAACTTAACTTTCTTGTACATTTCTCAAGAACAAGGGGAATAAATGATTTTCAAGGGTCTGTTTTTTCCAGTAAAAGCATCTACTTTTAATCACAAGTCTTGAATTGTGTTTTTGGGAAGATGTGGGATAGAGGGGAGAGGTGAAACTTGTAGCAAAACTTCCAACCAGCTATAAGGTGGTGGTTTTCCCATTGCTTAGGAGGTTAAATTGGTGCTAGATTTAAAATCCCTCCCAGCTGGCTTGGTTAACCTCCCTGAGAACACTATCCTCCTGGTTCTCCAGCAAGAGTTAGGGAAAGACATCTTCTGAGACATCAAACTCAAGAGCAAATAGTCTGACTGCAGCTTGCAAGCTGCAAATAGCTTGTTGCAGCCCCTATTAATACACTGATTTAATTAATCCCTCAGAATGCTCTTGCTATATTCATTTGTACAAAGCCATTGATGATGCTGTGAACATATAAAAACTAAAGGTTTTCCATCTTGTACTGTTTAAAGATGAATCTAGAGTAAACAAAACAATGAATTCACACCACTGGGGCATGTTTGGGGTAATGATTGCTAATTTGGCTCCTGAACCACTGAGATTTGCTGCTCTAGATCTAAGCCTTTGAGGCTATTTGTATATCCTAAAAGTGAAGGATGCAGGATTCTCTTCCAGTAACCTGTACATGCTGGTTGACTTCAGGCTCTCACTGGGAGAGCAGAGAACTGAGCCCTGGGCTAATAGGACCTCAGAGAAGGTGTGGGGGAGATGTGCCAGAGCAGTGTAGCTTGAGGGACTTGTCTAGTAGTAGATGATGGTTGAGCATAGGCCTGCAAGGCCATCAGGCAGATAGATGGCTGCTTGCTCCAGTAAGTGGGCCTTCCCAAAGTCAGACTGGACTACACCTCTAAGTATGAGGCTGAAGAAATTGGAAGCCTCAGGGTTGAACTATTGCTGTGTGGTAGTAGAAATCAGATCTGGAGCGCCCTCTACCGAAGTGATCTCCTAGGATAATCACTAGCTGTTCTCTCTCTCCCACCTGCTCTGGTGTTCCTGATGTAGCTAAAATTAAGTGCCTGCCCTTCAGAGCAGAAACATTGGGGTTTGTCCCTTACCATTGTGGCAACACACACACCCTATTTAGGTGCAGTATAAATGAATATGTACCCACCTTTTGGATTTCTGGGGGAGAGTTGAGTATTTTTCTTGTAAATGGCTAAGCCTGTACTATTCTCTCTCCTTTCTGCTTGCACAAAGCCACCACCATCTAAGGAAACTACACTGCTAGCCTCCACACTGAAATGGTTGCTGCCCTATGGTTATTAATACAACTGCAGAGAAAGATCCCCCAAATTGTCTCAACTAGGGTTTAGGGG